GATATGATAAACATGTTAGGATAAAGTAACTATTATAAAGTTGATATGATAAACATGTTAGGATAAAGTAACTATTATAAAGTTGATATGATAAATATATTTATCATATCAACTTTATAATAGTTACTTTATCCTAACATATTTATCATATCAACTTTATAATAGTTACTTTATCCTAACATATTTATCATATCAACTTTATAATAGTTACTTTATCCTAAAACTTTATAATAGTTACTTTATCCTAACATAGATATGATAAATTTCTTCTGGTAAAGTTCTTATAATAAAGTTCAATATGAAACTTCTTATGATAAGGCTTTCATGGCAATTATCCTGATACATGTCTTATGATATTGTTATCATAGTAAAATTGTAACGATGAGGTTACTACAGTAAAGTTATGATAAAACAATATAGTAGAGTTTTTATGATAAAATTACTATCACAAAGTTGTTGTGATAAAGAAGTTACGATGGTAAAGCTGTTATGATAAAGTTATTATGATAAAAGTATTATCGTAAGATCGCTATGGTAAATTTTATTATTATATCACCATGGCTAAATTGCTACGATAAAATTAATATAAAGTTATTTTGATAAGTGAACTTTTATGATAAAGTTACTGTTGTCAAAATGTTGCGATAAAGTTAATATTGTAAAAGAGTTTTGATAAGGTAATATGGTAGAGTACTTAAGATAAAGCAACTGTACTAAAGTTAATTGTTATGATAAAGTAACTATTGTAAAGTTGTTATGGTAAAGTTACTATTGTAAAGTTGTTATGGTAAAGTTACTGTTGTAAAATGTTGCGATAAAGTTAATATTGTAAAAGAGTTTTGATAAGGTAATATGGTAGAGTACTTAAGATACAGCAACTGTACTAAAGTTAATTGTTATGATAAAGTTCTATGATAATGTTGTTATGTTAAAGGTTGTTCTGATAAAGTTGTAATTATAAAATTATACGTTAAAGTTTATATAATAAAGATATTATGATAAACTAATATAGAGTAGTTGTTGTGATAAAATTATCATGGTAAAGATGTTATGATAAAGTTATAAGATAAATTACTATTATATTGTTATTACAGCAATGGTGTTATGATAAAGCTGCTATGGTCAAATTGTTATGATGAGGTTATTATACAATTACTATTATATTGTTATTACAGCAATTGTTATGATGAGGTTATTATACAATTACTATTATATTGTTATTACAGCAATTGTTATGATGAGGTTATTATACAATTACTATTATATTGTTATTACAGCAATGGTGTTATGATAAAGCTGCTATGGTCAAATTGTTATGATGAGGTTATTATACAATTACTATTATATTGTTATTACAGCAATGGTGTTATGATAAAGCTGCTATGGTCAAATTGTTATGATGAGGTTATTATACAATTACTATTATGAAGTTCTTATTGCTGTTATTATAAAGTAGTTTTGACAATTGTTTGTTTGTAGTTAAGCACAAAGCTACACAGTGGGCTATCTGTGCTCTGCCCACCACGGGTATCGAAACCTGGTTTCTAGCGTTGTAAGTCCGCAGACATACCGCTGTGCCACTGGGTGGAAGTTTTAACAAAGCTATGATTATAAAGTTGTTGTAATAAAGATACTATGGTAAAGTTTTATGATAATACTGCTGTGCTAAATTTGTTTTGATAACGTTATTATAGCGAAGTTATTATGATAAATTTACTATGGTAAAAGTCTTATCGTACTGTTACAGTGGTAAAGATAGAATGACATAAAGTTACTACAATAAAGTTATTATAAAACTACTATTACAAAGAGAATTACTATTAAGAATTTATAGTGATAAATTTACTAAGGTTAAAAGTATTATGATAAAGTTATTGTGGTAAAGTTGATTTGATAAAGCTATCATGGTAAAGTTGTTATTATAATGTTATCATGGTAAATATCTTATAATACAGTTGTTATAATAAACTTGGTATATCAAAATTGTTATGATAAAGCTGCTATAATAATCTTTCTACTGTAAAGCTATGATAATGTTACTGTTGTAAAGTTTTTAGGATAAAGTTATTATGGTCAACTTGTTATGATAAAGTTACCGTGGTAAATTATCATGATAAAGTTACTATTGTAAAGTTGTTATGATAAAATAACTATTGTAAAGTTGTTATGATAAAGTTACTATTGTAAAGTTGTTATGATAAAGTCACAATGGTAATGTTAATATGATAAAAGGATCATGAAAACATTACTAAGGAAAAACTATAGAATAATGTAAAATTCTAAGTTACTGTAGTGATGATGAATTTTGTGCAACAAAGTTAGTAGTATAAAAATATGTTATGGAAATTTTAATATGATAACGTTAGTATAGTAAAAATAGTGGTTGTAGATTCAGCATTATAAATTTAAAATGATGGAGACAGAACGATAATGTGAAGATGCTAAACATACGATAAGGTTATTATTGTTAAATTGCTACAATAAAACCACCATTGTAGATATACCTTTATAAATCGATTTAGTAAAAAGTTAGTGTTAGCTTAATTTATGAATTTATGTCTAACCTAAATCTACAAAGCTGGCCGAGCCAAGTACAACTTTTACCGCAGAGGGCTCAGTCGTACTTGGACATCAACCTAAGCAAGAGAAACTTTTACGCATTGTTGATTAGAAATTTTAGTATATCTACTTTTACCTTTTTTATTATTTCGAATTTAATTTTATATTTATTATTTCATTATAATTATTACTCTGCTTTCTTAGCTTACTATATGGATCTATGACTAGCCTAAGACTTCTGGTCTGACTGAACCTCGTGAGATATTATCAGGTTTATGGACGAAAGTATGATTTACATAGAGGGTACCCAACTGATGAAGCATTGCATTCTAATAATTATATCAATGATAACATGAACATTACATTTAAGTAGCTATACTCATTATTATGTATATAATTTTAGTTCTGATCTATGCTTGCTTTGGTTAAAGTTAATATTAATGATTAAATGATAAATCTATTAAGGTAAGTCAAAATAAAGCCTCATTGTTACAGGTAGTACAGTGAAGTAATAGGATAAAGTTGGTGATACAATCTCAATATGGTTAATCACTCTAATAATAGTTATGATGACAAAAGAACTAAAGTCACTATTAAACCTCATTAAAATATTTTTATACCTAGCACACCGTAATTAAAATATTTATGTGTATTGTTAGTGCCAACAGATGGCGAGACAAGTATAGCCAGTTATGTTTCTTGGTAATTGTTTAACGAAAACTGTACAATGGTCCATCAGTGCTGTGCCATCTGCAAGAATCAAACCCCAAGTTTTAGTGTCGTGAGCACCCAAACTTATCGCTAAGCTATTGGTGAGTGCCAGCAATAAAAAATCCCGCTTAGTAGATTATCTAATTAGCCTATCAACTTACCTTCAATAATGTGCACGATAAGATCAGATCGATTAAAGTCATACTTCAGTCGAAAATGTAATCTTCCACACTTAGCCTTTCTCTGGCTGTTCGAAGACGGTAAAAATACCATATCTTTCTTTTTGTAAAGGTCAGGCTGGATGGCTCCTAGTTAGAAAAAAAAAACACTTGAAAATTTCCATTTGTGCTCATATAACCATGAATGGTTCTTGTAAAATCAAAAATTATATTTCATTTTATGAAATCTCCGTATGATGTGGTTAATTTTTTTCCCTCTTACAGATGTCTGAGATGAACACATTCTACAGATCAACGTACGAAAACCAATATGAGAGAAATGTGTTCCCCGTTAAATTTTAAAGAGGAATATAACTTTCACTTAAATAAAACATGTACGTATCAAGTATAGTCCTTTTGCAAGTTCAAAATGACAAATTAGACTTTGTGTTTTTTCAAAATAAAAAGCTTATGTTCGAGATACGTATGATAGATACTATCGTTCTTCATGGTTTGGTAATATAATGGTAAATCAATATGGATTCACGAAGTTCACTGAGTGCCTGGTACTCAATGTTTCTCTCAGTTCTAACAATCTTATAAAAGACTGAGTAAACCATTGTAGTTCATGTTATGTTTGAATTTGTACAGTTGTATATGACATTTTTGTTTATTGCTTTCTTTTGCAATAAGCGTGGTATGGCGTGGTCGTGGTCTATTCTGGCTCGGCGCATTTGGTCCTCTCGCATGTGGGGGGGGGGGGTATGCGGTTGTCTGATCTCCCGAATGGTGGTGGAAAGAGTTGTACTGTGATGCGCCAGAGGGAAAAATATCGAGAAGAATGAGCCAAGGATTTGGGTGGGGAGGAACCATTCGTCTCTGATCGCCCGAGAAAAAACTAGAATACCTAACAGAGAACAACACTAGATCAGGAAAGTGATCATTATTTTCCCATTGATTATTTCAAATAGCCTGATTTCAGGCTAGAAGGCTCCTGATATACTCAAGGATGTGTGACGAGATGCTGGCTGTTCCAGATGGCACCACTGCAGTATTCCTGGTGAATTTCATCCACTGTACACATCTCAACTCTCTCCTTGATGACCCTCCAGTTATAGAAGTACTCAGGCCTCTCAGCGTATGTTTAAAATCTCAGAGAAACCACCTAATAGGTCTCAGAATATCTAGACTAATCATTGTTATTATTGCCAAGCCCTGCTGCTATGTTCCTGTACGTAGGAGGTAACCAAAAAGTTGAGTTTGTGCAGCAGCAGCCAGGACCTCCTGTAACTGTCTTTGAACTGCTCAGTCCTGAGGACAAATCTAGAGCACGAACATACTTCTCATCATGACTGGTGAGACCTCTTGACCAAGAGACGGCTTTTTTGGTCCTTAATCCACTCTCAGATCATATCATCACCTCAGCTGCAGAGTTCTTCTTTTCACCTTAAGTTTGATGTGTTCTTAGGAAATAACATTCCCTTGTAATGGTTTACAAACAGTCAAATTAAACAAAAACGCATATTTATGACAAACTAAGCATAAATGGCAACTTGTCCATGGCAACAGAAATTTAACCATCTAACGCAATCTGTTGTATTAATAGGTGAAATTAAAGCAAAGAAATAAGTTAAAAATCGCAATAAACGAGGTAAGAAAATCTTTGTTTAAAGGAGAGAAAATAATAAATTCGAACAATAACAAAACAAACTCGAACAAAATAGTACGAAACAACAAAATAAAAACTTATATTTTTTAACAGATACAAGTGTAAATATCTTTTATCTAAATTTTTTTGTGTTAGAGCAAACATTAATTGCTGGTTGAGGCTCTAACAAACGACATATTTACTGGAAAAAGACAGGTAGGATTATAAATGCCACACTCTCGCTAAGGTCCTGGGTCAGTGTCCCACTATCCTAGATTACATTTTCATCGTACATTTTAGGGAAAATTAATTTTCTGTTAATGCTAACTTGTACAAACCCCTTCACCTGGATATGGCCCAGCAGAAGGAAGACAATACAAATACTTGAAAGAAGTATAGGATTTCTTGAATGTAATCTTTGTCTGAGACAGTAATAAGAATAAGGTAGGTCTGATGGTATTCTCTTTGCAAAGACTAAATACAGAATACCTGTATGAAAATGAAAAAAAAACATTCATCTAAAGATACATTAAAAAAGATATATATTCAATTTATAAATTGCAGAAGAGTTATGCCTGGCAGTTGTTACTGCCACACTACATAAAAAAAAACAATTGATTTTGAATAGATCGATGGCAAAATCCCTAATACTACATTAATGGGCCAACTTATAACTGACACGTGATGAACCTCTGTAAACAATAGGTTATAAGCACATGTAAGAAAGTAAATAAGAAGGAAATCACGCATACGGGATCTAGTGGGGAATTATTACTTCAGTGGCGTTTTTATAGATCATATTAATCCATTGGCTTAATATTATTAAAAATTTGTCCATTTAAACTATTCTTTTTGAAAATAATGAACAACTTAGAGTACATAATGCAAAATCTATTATGTATGATTATAAGACAGTAAGTTTGTATATATAGGAACAACTTTTCAAATAGGTTTGTTTGTTTTTAATTATGTACAAAGCTACACAAGGACTATCTGTGCTCTGCCTACTACGGGTATCGAAACCCGGTTTCTAGCGTTGTAAGTCCGCAGACATACCGCTGTGTCACTGGGGGCTTTCAAATAGGTATGACAACAAGGTATTTTTATGGGTTAAATTATAAACGTATGCGCTTGGAAGTAAGTTAGGAAGGTAAACGCATGTCCGGAAACAACAGGAAAGTTGTTATTTCTATCAACAAAAATATGTTTTAAACACGAATTTAGAACAGAACTACATTTCATTTTCTATAGGCTTATGATAGGTTAGTTGTTTAGGGCTTTATGGCACAAAACACTAAGGTTGTCTACAACAAACAGTTTAATTTAAATCATCAATGAAATTTAGTTAAAATAACTAAGTACACATAAAATAAAATACACATAGAAAATGTTCATAGCAAATGATATTGCATGAAATACAGCATTGAACACAGAATATTTAGAAGGGATCCTGTCAGCAACTATAGAACTGCAGCAAATCGAAGCAGAGCCCACATAGTCAGCTGATTTTGAATCATCCATAAAAATTGAAACAGGGGGATACTTGAAAGGTGGTCATTAAAAGAAGCCAGTACTTCCAGTTGAAAGTGTATGACTGTTTAAGTAAGAATGATAACAAACCATTGTGAGATGATTTAGTAGAATCATCCAATGTCAAACCTATTTCAGTTAACTTGTCTGAATATTAAAGCCAAAACCCATCGTTTGTAAAATCCCATCAACGTATGAACATACAATGCCAGGTCAGGTGGGAGTTTGTGCCAGAGACTGGAACTATGCAGAACATTGCAAAAAAGTTGCAATGTCTGAGATGATGTGGAGGCTCATTAAACTCTGTATAAAAACTCTTGACTGGAGAAGTGTGGAAAGCTCTGATGGTGCAGAGAAATCAACATTTTCAATGCAGAGTCCCTGGCAAAGGCATATATAAGATATCCATAGTCCAGCTTAGATTTAATGAATGTTTGATATATCTTGAGCATAGAATACCTTTATGTTTCTCAAGATACGCTTTACTTTAAGGTGCTTAATGTATTAAAGGTCAGGTTATTATCAAAGGTAAGTCCTAAGAACTTAGTCTCAGCCAACATAGAAACTTGTGAAACTCGCAGATGGAGCACTATATCAGGATTTAACCCCTGATGATGGAATATAGCTGCTTCTTAATGTATCTTGTATTTGATGACTGAAAGTCATTGGCATAGGTACTTGTTAGAATTGGTTACAGAGAGCGTTGTTCACTGATGACACTGATAATAACAATAAAATGCATGACACTCAACAAATAGCCTTAAGTTATTCTGGTATATTTTGAGGAGAACTGGGATAATGCCGATCCCACACAGTTCTGAAATAACCTTTCTATTAGAAACAGTTGTGGATAAAAATGGAAAATTAGTTATACTAATTATACAAATGGAGATCCTGTAATAAGCTAGACTTCTACATGGTGTCATAGGCCTTCTCAAGATAAATCAATGGATATAAACAAGATGTTCCAATTTCAGAAAGGCTTCCCTGATTGGTACTTCTAGTTGAATTAGGTGATCATTAGTGGAATGTTATCTGCGGAAACCACACTGACTGTTTGAGGGGAGGTTATTTGATTTGAATAGCCAAACAAAACCAGAATTAACCATCCTCTCCAGAATTTGACGTAGACAGTCAGTCAAAGCAATAGGCTTAGAAAAAAGGGTTAACATAGCTCAATGCCACAAATCTGGGAAACCTAACTCCTACTAAATACAGTTAGAAGAACCAAAATAAGACTGAAAGAGGCAAGAAAAAGGTTGAATAACCTCCCAAGCTGGATATCCATATCTAATCCTTTACTGGACTGATGAAGAGCAAGTTTAAGTTCCACTGGAGTAAATGGTTGATTACAGTAGCAAAGATAATGGGTCTAAAAACAAGGTGGTGTTCTTTTGGCCCATATCTTTATAGCCCAAAATGCAGGGGAACAGATGGAGGTGCTGGATTAGTGAAAGAAGCACTCTCTAAAGTCATTAGTAATACCTATAATTCAACAGCTTCTTGGGTATTTAAGTTTTAAACTTATCCCAAACGGCCTTGGACTCAGAATATAGAAATAGGTATGTTCTCCAATACTGAAGATAAAAAGGTTGTGATTTTAGTACATACACTCCACAGATTGACTCTTCCTATTAATATCTTAACCACCTAAGAGTAGAATGTGTGCATCTAAGACTCACATCATGAAGAAGAGGAATGACAACTGCTCAATAAGACCAAAAGCTGCTTGATCAAATTCTTCTACTGGAGACTGGTAAAGAGAACACAGTATGTTGATTTGACCAATGGAGACATTGATGGCAATAGCTTGCAAAGGTATAGTGATTGACACACACATATATATATATATATGGAGGGAGTATGCTACACTATCACGAACCTGTCCATCACACAACCTATCCTATTCGTAAAAAAAAACTGCAAAATTGTAACAGCATCAGCAATTTTCAGGAATGTCTCATATCAGAAG